AAAATCTTAAAAAAAAAAAAAAAGACTGCTCAACCCATTCCCATTTAATATTTGAATGTGAAATTTCCTAGTAAGTATGAGTTCACTGGTATGGTATTTCTATTTTTAATTTTTTTGATGAACTTCTGTAGTGTTTCCACAGTGGCTGCACCTATTTACATTCCCACAAACAGTCTTACCAAGTTTCTTTTGCTTCCCATCCTTACCAGCATTTATTATTTTTTTTGATATTAGCTATTCTGACGGGTGTGAGGTGATATCTCTTTATGATTTTTATTTGCATTTCCGTGATGATTAGTGATGTTGAGCATCTTTTCATGTGTCTGTTTGCCATCTGTATGTCTTTGGAAAAATGTCTATTCAGGCCCTCTGCCCATTTTTTAATCAGATAGTTAACCAACTGTCTGGTATTGAGTTGTATAAGTTCTTTATATATTTTGGACATTAACCATTTGTCAGATATTTTGCTTTCAATATCTCCTCCCATTAGGTTGCCTTTTACTTTGTTGATGGTTTCCTTTGCTAGCAAAAGCTTTTTATTTTGATGTAGTCCTAATAGTTAAGTTTGCTTTCATTTCCCTTGTCTGAGGAGACATATATATAAATATGTTGCTAAGGGTAATGTCCAAATTACTGCTTATGTTTCCTTGCAGGAGTTTTATGGTTTTGGGGTTCACATTTAGGTCTCTGATCCATTTTGAGTTTTTTTTTGTGTACGGTCTAAGAAAGGGGTCCAATTTCATTCTTTTGCATGTAGCTGTCCCATTTTTTTCTGCACCATTTATTGAAAAGGCTGTCTTTTCCCCACTGTAAATTCTTGCCTTTGTCATAAATTAATTGACTGTATAGGCATGGGTTTCTTTCTGGGTTCTCTATTCCGTTCCACTGATCTATGTATCTATTTCTTATGTCAGTACCATACTGCTTGGATTACTGCAGCTTTGTCTCATATCTTGGAATCTGGAATTGTGTTACCTCTGGCTGTGTTCTTCTTTCTCAAGATTTCTTTGTCTATTCAAGGTATTTTGTGGTTCTGTACAAATTTTAGGATTATTTGTTCTGGTTCTATGAAAAATGCTATTGGTATTTTTATAGGGATTGCATTGAATCTGTAGTTTGCTTGGGTAGTATGGACATTTTAATGTTAGTCTTTCAATCCATGAGCATGGTATATCTTTCCATTTGTGTCCTCTTCACTTTCTTTCATCAAAGTCTTACAGTTTTCAGAGTATAGGTCTTTCATCTCCTTGATTAAGATTATTCCTAGGTATTTTTTTTTTTTTGGTGCAAGTGTAAATGGTTAGTAGCATGTAGTAGAAATGAAACAGAATTCTCTGTTATTT